TCGTTGGATCACCTCTGTAAACATGTGAGAGGGAGTGCCTGCAGCGACCTTAGTGCAAAGGTCCCAGAGAGAGGTCAGGATCCCCTGAGCATCTTCCTCCCCTGTGGGGCCTGAGAAGAGAGAGAGAGCTCTTTCCACAATAAGCTGGAAGACCAGTGTGGGGCGGTATGAAAGAACCACCGGTCGTGGTGGCCCATCGGGGACACCTATAGTACACGATCCAGTTCCTGGGTAGGCCTACAACGGGCCATGAAATCCACAATTTCTTGCCCCCAGGGCCGTGTCACATCAACTTGTTCCTCCTCGAAGGAGCGACCCGACCCCCTGATGATCGGGTCTAGTAACACTCCTGCAAGAACCTCGCCATCCGACTGAAGGGGGCCAATGCCTTGCTCAAAGAGAGCAGAGATGAGAGGGTCAGGGGCCCTGACAAGGGCCCTCCCAAAGGGAGATGGGCAACAAAATACAAAGGTAGTCATCCTGAGCCACGGCGACTACGGGAGAAGGAGAGGTAGGGAAGAGTGAGAGAGAGAGAGAGAGAGAGAGAGAGAGAGAGAGAGAGAGAGAGAGAGAGAGAGAGAGAGAGAGAGAGAGAGAGAGACCAATGCAGTTCAAGGGCACTTGTTTTCGCACGGAGCGATGGTCTGTAGGCCGGCAGGTCTGGCAAATAGTCGTTCCCTTGTCGAGGCAGGGGGGGAACCATCAGGGCCAAAGGCGCCTGGAGGTCCCACCCCCTCCCCTTGAGGGCATTCCTGTTGCCGAAGAAAAGGCCTGTGACATGGCCCCAGTCCTGAGTAGTGTAGGTACTTGCACTTAAGACAGTTCCCCTCAGGGCCCAAGGCACATGACCTCAAGAAAAGCTACAGCAGCCAGAAGGGAGAGGAGACCCCCTTCAGGGCCATAGGCACCTGGCAGGGGTTCCCCCTTCACATGCCTTGTTCAAAAAGAAAACAGGGCTCAGGCCGGGCGGAGCGATCACGGGGGGCCGCCGTGGGCTCAACCCTCTTGTAGAACTCGATCCGGTCCTTGACCCAGGACTCGTAGAGGTGCTGGGGGGGCTCGTCCAGGATGAGCTGGAGCTGGGCCGACTTCCCTTTGTGTTCCCCCGTGATGAGAAGGAAACGGCTGGCCCCTCTGCCACTTCGCCAGAACCCTTTGCAGTGGCGGCAAACGTAGCCCCCACGAGTCTCACCCTTCTTCTTGTCAACGATTTCCCACGGGGAAACGGAGCTGAGGACCAGGCCACACTCCATCTTGGCCCAGAAGACGTGGGCCGTCTTATCCCCCACGTTCTTCTTCTTGTAGTCGTCCGAGGCCACGCTCGTGACATTGTCCGGGGTGATGGGCGGGAGAGAGCGCTCCTGCTCCGACCCCGGGTCCAGGGGGATCCTTTCAGCGCCAAAGGCAGCTGAGGAGTCCCTGTCCCCCAAGCCGAGGCCTTTGATGTGGCTCTCCGAGTAGCCAAGCTTGCGGTAGATGGGGCCGGCGTACTCCGGCTTGAGGCGGGCTGTCCACCACTGCACGGTGTTGCAGCGCCACGCCATCTTGACCTCCACCACCGACTCTTGGCCCAGCAAGTTGGAGAGCAAGTTGTAGATCTCCGGGAAGTGCCGGAAGGCCTTCAAAGGAAGGGTGATCCTTTCGTCACATACGGCTCTCAATCGCATGTGCTGCTTGGAGTCATGGATGTCAGCAACAGGGAGGTCCAAGACCACCTGCGGCGTACGGTTGATGAAGACCTTGGCAGCGAAAAATGAACCGATCTCGCGGTAGAGCTGCTTCCACTCCTGGTTTGTCGTGGGCACCGGGAGGTCGTGCAGAATCACAAACTCTTTGGCCTCCTTCATCAAATCCCGGTGGTCGTCTCGTCGCTGCAGGTTCTGCTGCTTGTTCTTGGCCCCTCTCTTGTGGGACCTGACGGTGATCGGCAGGTGGCTCCACACCGCGTAGAGGTGCCTGGCCGAGTAGGTGTGGCCGAAGCAGGAGAAGAGGCTAACCAAATCCCACGTCTGCACCTCCTTTCTCCAGTGGGTGTTCCCGTCCCCCTCAGCATGGAACGGGCCGATGATCTTATCCAGGGGGGGCCTAGTGCCCATTGCAACCTGTGCCTCAATCTCCTCCATGGTGAGGGCAATCGGCTCGAAGAAGGGCTGCCTGAAGGAGCAGGGGTGTGTCCTCATCTCCAGCATGATCTTCTCCCCTTCGGGCAGGGGCTTTGCCCACGTAGGGGGCTCAAGGGGCCCCGGGTGCTGCTTCCATCTGCCCCCGATCATGCGCTGCTCCCCCATGTGCAGCTCGATGATGCGTTTGAGGCGAAGCATCTGGAATTCGACCGAGCCCACTGGAACACCCAAGCATGCCTCCGGGGACTGCTCCTCAGGGCCAAAGGCACCTGTGGAAGACAGCCCCTCGCCGGAGTCCCGGGCGACGAGCTCGCCCTCACGCTGCAGAGCGGCCAAAGTGGGAAGCTCTTGCAGAAGAGAGGCAGGGAACGGATTCCTGCTCTGATTTAGCAGGAACTTCGTGTTCAAGTACCTTTCCTTAAGGGCCTCGATGTCGTCAAGCTCCATATCCTTGAGCGGGCACTCCGGGTTGAACACGTTCATCTCCAGGGCCGCGCGCAGCTGGGTGCCCCAGGTATCAATGGAGTCCGCCACCGGCCGGAGGAGCTGGGAGCGCTGGGATCCCTCATCCTGCATGCGCTTGTTCGAGGCCTTGGCCTCTTCCAGGCTAGTCTGCGCAGCGAAAAACTCGTCACCCTGATTCCCGGGGCCCTGCAGGTAATTTCGCTTAAGAAGGGAACGAAGCTTCTCTGTATCCAGCTGCCGGAGGATTGACGCACCCTTTGCCTCCTCGACACTCTGTGCGCCCGCCTGCATCTCCACGATCACATCCAGCTGGGGGTTGATGTGATCCAAGAACTCCTCCTCCGTGGGCTTCTTGGGCTGCTTGTCCACCGGGCCCGAGCTCTTCTTGGTGATGTCCATCGCCGCCGCCAGCTGGGGATGGAAAGCCCTCGTCTCCTGGCTTGGTTGCCAGTCACCCCGGAGGTAGGGTCTGTCCCCTGCCTCCTTGTCGGCAAACTGCACCTCGTCGAAGGGCTGTGTTGCCACCGTGTGAGCCAAGCTAAGCCTCAGGGCCATAGGCACCTGGTCGGCGAAGCTCAGCTCCTTCTGATCCGTGGGTCTGGGTGGCGGCTGGGCCCAAGAGCCAATGTCCACGGAGGCGGCTTCCTTCTGATTCTCGTCGGCATCCGTGTGCCATGTGACACCCTGGGGGCCACAGAACATTCGCCAGGAGGACTGGCCTAGCTTGATCTCTGCCGAGGGCGGGCCCTTGTCCACGGCGATGACAAACTTCTGGCAGAGCTTACACTTCCCCTCCACCTTGTTGTCCTGCCTCTGCCAGTCCGAGAAGCAGTTCGGGCACATGAGGGTAGCCCCCGTGCTGCCCGGGTCAAGTTGGCCCATGCTGCTGTGCCCCACTCCTCTGCGAGCACGGTTGTAGGGGGCGGCCAGCATCTTCTCCTGTGCCAGCTGTCGTTTGTAGATTTGGTACACCTCAAGGACTCGTTCCACAGCCGGGCGGCTCCACTGCTCCGCCTTGAGCTCGGAGAACAAGGAGGCGATCTCCTCCTTTGTCAATTGCTGGGCCCAGTCTGCACTCTTCTTGCCGATGCCGGGGAAGTTTTCCGGGAAGCCCTCGATTCTGAAGACCTTCTCCTCCAGGGTGCCGGCGGGCAGGGCCGAGTAGGGCCGGGGCTTGTTGGCATCGTCCTTGGCCACCGTGTCGCCGCCCTCAGGGACAAAGTCACCTGTGGTTGGCACCTCGGGCCTGTCCATGGGGTCATCCGTAGCAGCACCCTCAGGGACAAAGTCACCTGTGGTTGGCACCGCCGGCTTGTCCATGGGGTCATCAGTAGCAGCACCCTCAGGGACAAAGTCACCCGTGGTGGGCACCTCCGATCCCGTGGTGTCCATGTCCTTGGGCAAGGGGGTGTCTTCCTTGACCGCCACCATCTCGCTGCCCTTGGCCAACAGCCGTTTCATGGCAGCTTCCATTTCCTGGAGTCGCAAGTCCATGCTGGTGTCATCCACCTCCAAAGTCGTGAAGGAGGCCAATGCCGAATTGGCCGACTCATCCTCATGGGCATGGACATTGTGGGCCAAGGTAGCACGAGCCAAAGCGACTTCGTCGTCGGGCTTTTCCCATTCCTGATCACTGTCCCCTGTGTCGCGAGGGGGGATCAAACTCTCAACCGTCTCCATGCTGGAGGCCAGGACGTCATCGACATTAGCAACGGGGGTGAGTGCCATGGTCGACAGTCGCAAGGGAGAAAGCGGGAGCGGTTTCAAATTATGAAGGACCCACGGTCCACGATCTTGGGCCAAAATGGCAGAGCCATTTTGGCAGACGTCTCCTGACATAAGTCTTGCAAGTCGGCAAGCTTTGTTGCAAGTAACTATTCTTGACGTCGCTCTTTCTATGTCTTTCATTCGTTGACAGTGATGTGTGGACTTGACGATGTGGTGGGCGTGTTGACGGTGGCCAAATGGACATCATCAGCCTTCTCGCTCCCCAAAAACAAGCAGGAACAGAAACCGCACACGGAAACCACCCCCTAGCCCCCTCCCCTAATTACTGCTCTACTTGCTCCGCCTTTGAGACTGCGGGCACCTGGTGCTCGCCGACATGCAGGCCGAAGGACAAAGAACTTCACGCAAAACCACATTCTAAAATCGCATACTACCAGGACAACGACGAGAAAACATACCAAAACCGCAACAGGTACACATGTCGACTCATGACATCAGCAAGGACCAACACTCTAACCACTGGTGTTCGAACGTGACATCGACTACAATATTAATTCAATATGGAGATGAGCAGCAGCAGGAGCAGCAGCAGCAGCAGCTGCAGCACCAGCACCAGCACGAGCACCCCCAAACACCACCAACACCACCAGCAGCAGCCGCCACATCATCCACCACTATCGACACTCACGACGCCGATATGAAGAAACGGTAAGAAAAGGCAACAGCCTTCAGCTGAGACTCGGCCAGCACCACAAAGTTTAACCAAAACGCGCTGTCCCGCTCGAACTCGGGACCCAACCAGAAGTTGTGTTCGAAACCTGCAGGGCTTGAGTAACAAACTGGGGGAGGGGGGTTGGCATATTTGGCATGGATACAGTACAGCGAACCGACGAACCGACCTAACGGAGATTACTTGCAGGGCGCCGTGGGCCATGCAAATGCCGCTAGTCTAGGACCGCCAGGAACGGCTGGACTGGCCTTCCCAACATGACAAGTCGTATCAAGTCGCTGACTTTGTTGCCTGGCATGACTTGCTGCCAAGCTTGTTTCCTTGTCTGGGCTCGGATTCTTTCTCTTGCTACTTTCCATTTCAATGCCCTGATGCACTCATTGCATTGACCATGATTGTGCTTGAGTTGACGAGGCAGGCTCTGTGCCACGATCAGGATCAAAGCTCATAGCAGGCCTGGGCAGTATCCCATCATCGGTCCCCCTCCTTTGTAGGCAGGGTGGTCCTGGAAGATGTAGACCTGGGCACATGAGCCACTCACAATTTGTGTCAAGCGGGGCCTTAGAGTTCTTGTGCACGAATCCCTTCACGAAGCTGTTGAAACGGACCTGTGGACTTCCAGGAAAACGGCGCATTGTCTGCATCCACAGGCGCATGACTAGACTCGATTTCGGAGCACAGCCGCAACGACGAAATGCCGACAACAGCCGACAAAATCTTGCCGCTGCCACTAGTGGAACTCTTCTGCTTCTCCTCGTCTTCCAGCTACTGCTATCCGCTTCCGACTTTTTTATTCTGGACCCCATCATCCTGCTGACCAGAATGGTGCGAAAGAGAGTCACGATGACCGTTGCTATCCTCATTTGCTTGACATCCTAGGCCTGGTGACCTGGTGGTCCGCATGACCACGGAGCTTCCTCGTCGTCGCCATCAAAGCAGCACCAATGGCACTAGAACTCACTGGAACGACACCAGGCCGGAGCACCGTAAGCTCCCTCCCCCGCTGCTCATCGGGCCATGAGTCGAGGGCCTCGGCTTCAGTGGAGACTGCAAGGATTCCGATGCAGTGCACCTCAAGACCTGGAGCTCATGCTTGGGTTCGGGGCCAGCAGTTTGGAGGAGCTTTTAGAAGTTCGGCTTGCAGAGATCAGAGGGCGTAGCGTTTCGGGAGTCGCGAGCATGCCCTTCGCCACAACATTGCATGTCTGGAGAGGAGGGTGCTGGTGGGTGGTATCGAGAGCTGCGAAAGCACGCTGCCCTCTCTTCAAAGCACCCAGAAGCCACCCCTACTGTCGTTGCTCCGAGGCTCCTCCCCTGCGACGGCTTTCATTCCGAAATCACAGGCCTGCACGTGCGCCGTTCGCTCAGAGAAGTTTGTCGCATACTGGGGTCTGTCGGGTGCAGAAAAGAGGACTTTCAGTTTTGATTACTCCAGATTCTAGTTAGACCATGACCGTGCAACCTGCTGTTTGGAGGCTCAAAGGGATCGAAGTGCTGCACCGAGAACACTCCTTACGGGTTTACCAAGCAGGTCCGGAAACCAAAAAGCTGTGATTCCAACAGCCACAACCTCCTAAGAACCAGACCAACTCGTTGAAATGCCAGTCCTAAGCGAACAATCCCAGAACCGGAAGTCTCATTAGATCACAGGCTTTTCTGCCTACACTGTCTCAACCCGAAGCCCTGCTCTTTTCACCTTTGTGATTACAGCGAACATACGGCGGAAAGTGTTAAAAACAACAATCTGAGTAAAGTGAGAGACACAGCATGTCCCGTGCTCCGTGCCCTTTTCTGCTAAATTCTGCTAAATCAGGTAAACCGTGGCACAAAGCTCCTGCCGGGGATGCCTGGCTTAGGAAGAGCTCAGACAGCACGTTCCAAGCCCTGCAGCTGTTTTCTGACGGCTCAGGCTCGACATGACATTAACAACATGCATAGCAGCTGCAGCAGTAAGCCTAGAAGAAGAACGCAAAACAAAACACCCAAGCGTCCCTTCTCACGACTGTGTGCTGGGCGGTACGTAGCAAGGACCCAGCAGTGAAGTAGAAGGGGTGGTAGCAGCAGAGGAAACGCAGCAGGAGACATGCAATTTTAAAGACAATTCTGGCGATCTGGCCGCCGATATCTGTTTTCATGTGAAGTGTAGCTCTCCTACTCTGTGGCTTTGTTGCCCTGGGGTTGAGCGACCACCCATGCTTTCGGAGGTTCGGAAGCGGTGTCTCGGGGCTGGGGCTGTGGACATCAAGCCAGGCCTGGGCACATCGCCGATGTGAACAGAGAAATGCAGCTTCCAGTCGGGCAGGCGATGGTCGTGTTCATTCTGGGCGAGCCTCAAGCACCCACTCAAAAAGTGCAGAACCGGCGCCGAAACTCCCACGAAGCAATAGGGAGGCCTCATGATAAACCCTCAAACTCAAAGCCTCAGCCCCACCTTCAAGTCCAAACAAGACCAAAGCTTCGAAGACTCCATTGGCATCACAAGTCAAGTGTATGCCCTATCAAAGAAGATTACCTGAGATGTCCTTTCAGCTCAGGTTCCAGTAGACGCGCCCACGCTCCGTGCAAAGACGAACGAAGCCGCCAGTGTGCAGAATCTCGTACCTTTGATTTGGTACTATGCCACAGAACTTTGAGGTGCATTGCCTGATCTGCCTATGTCTTCGGGTGCAAGCAAGATGGGGCTCATGATGTGCTTGATAGATCTGCAGCCAAAGGGCTCGGTCGAGCGGAAAGACCTACCGATGCCTTGTCTGGCACAGCTTCACAGGTTTCGAGCCAAACCTGAGATCTACTGCTACTTGCAGGGACCTAGACTCCTGGCCTGTATTCGCTTCTGGCTATAACTGCATCAAGATCCGAAGTGAGCTCCGAGAACCCGGATCACCCTTTGAGCTCATTCGAGTGGCAAGTGCGTTGAACCTGGCATCGAGGGCGGCTTTGGCCTAGACTGAGATCCTTCGATGCCTAGGCTAAGGCCTAGTCCTAGCCACGACCTTGCATGAGATTACACACGCAGCAAGCACGAACACAGCGGTCGGAACCAAGGCAATTCAACATAGAGGCATGATGGAACTAGGATTTTCCATGCTTGCTCGAGTCGACAGGTTTAAAGATTCAGAACGGAAGAATTAGCTTGGCTGTCTGCCTCCCAAGTCCTGACCTCACTATTGCTACGTAAGGTAAAGTGCTTAGGAGGCAAAACACAAGTTCGTTCTGCAGGCAGCGGTGGCATTTAGGTCGCGAGGACGCTTCAGGCACATGTACTTTCACCTGGCCCCCAACCGGTCTACGTTCAAGGCGGCACTGCGTTGAGAGCTGAGCGCTCAAGACTGTGCCTTCAAGCATGGCCTTTAATAATTAGAATAGGATTTTGGGGCCCACTGTACTAGAATTATACTATAGAACCCTCCAAAATAGTATTGGTAATTAGTTATAAGCCCCTACAGTAACCCTAATTCCCCTTGCCGAAGACTGGCGTCGCCTTAGGCTCGTCCTCCAGAACTTCCCAGCTGAAGGGGTTGGGCGAGGCACGGACGGCAACTTCGGTACACGTCTCCGTCCTGGCCAACATGAGTAAGGCAGCCGTAACGGTAGCTCGGACCACTGCCGGATTTGTGATGATTTGTGTTCACAGCGGATGTCCGATCATGCTCGTGACACAGCCGGTGGATACCGATAACCATGCTGACGATGTGTTACGTACGGGTATACAGTTTGCCGTTGAATCGAAGGTTAAAGTGGTGGTCTGTCGGTGGCGGTGCTGCTGCTGCTGCTGCTGCTGCTGCTGGCGGTGACTTGCTGTTGCTTCGCACGGGTCTCTACAAGTTTGCAGCCTGGCAGCAGTCACTAGAAACAAAGGGTCTGCCAAAAAGGCCTCGTCCCCCTTCCGCCTCGTCGCCATAGAGTGTGCCTGTGCCGTTGCGCCACGGGGAACTACCCTTGAGCCAGGCCTGCAACACAGAGCACCTGCAAGGACAGCCCTCGAATCCTCAGCTGCCGTCACGTGGCGTCAATGTGAAACGTATCTCTGCCCCAAAGCCATCTAATCCCTTAAAGCTGGAGGCTCCCTAAGAGCCCTTGCACAAAGGAATCAAAGGAACCAAAACGGTCTGCATCTAAAACCCAAGCCGATCAAGAAGCCTCGGAAGCCTAGGAGAATGCCACACCAGCTAGAACTCCAGCCTGGAGTTCTGGTTAAGCTTCATGTTGAAGGACCCCAACTGTTCCCCTATAGCTGTGGAATGGAAGGCCGCAGCAATTCTGATATCTAGATGGATGGGGCTGGTACATTCTGGTCTGCAGAGTCCAATCCAAGCGCGATGGAAAGAAGAGACAAGACTGGAGCCAAAAGCAACCTGGACTTGTGCAAGCCTTCTGCATTACAAACCTTCCAAAGCCCCAGTATAAGCTGGACCGGGTTCGCCGCATTTCCCATTGTCAGACCACAAAGGGGCCAGGTTTGGACCTGAGTGGTCTCGGATCTGGGATCCAAGGGATGACGGCTCTTGGCTCCTGGTGGATTGGGGCTGTTCGATCTGGGAAGCTTTCAGAAATTCAAGGTAGAGCGATGGGTGCCGAACCCGAGGTTTCGTCCCGGGTGCCTGTGTGGCCCGCAGGTCTCCCGGAACTAAACCCCAATTCCGACAGCATCCGAATTCTCACCTCTTCGCGCACGGCAACGTAGCAATGTAGAATCTCAGGCATGCGACGAAACAAGGCGACAAGAAACCGAACAACAACAGAAGCCTTGGTAGTGAAACCCGTATACATGGACGGTCTTTTTCTCCCTCTTCCGCTCCTGTCTGTTCTGCCGGTCAGCTGCGGCAGTCTCATGTTCTCATGCACATATCGGGACAGAGGAAACAGCACGAAATCCAGACTGTTCTTCACCCGCCTTTGCACTAGAAGCAACTTCGGACATCTTGGGGTAGCATGCGAGACTCATGACAATGACTCTGAATCAGAATGGCTGCTGTTCCTCTCCGCTTCTTCGGTTGCTAAAAAGGTCGAACCGTCGACACCCGCGTTGCCCTGCGCAGGTTCGTTCCCGACTTTGTCAAATGTCAATGCCAGATCAAATTCCGATCATGTCGAACGCCGTGTCCAGGAATACCTTTGTTGCCGATGTTGCTTTGCCTTTGCATCAAAGAAAATTCCGCATGGACGCGTAGCTAAACTCAACCAAGAACACCGACCGGACAATCACCCAAGATACCATGGCTGCCAGGGACCAAGCAATCAGTCTCGACACCTGCACACAGACTGGGCTCGAGCGACTGTGTCTTCTTCATCCTGGGATGTCCCTTGTTCCGGGCAGCAAGATGTCAGCCGTATCTTGAAGTGAACAACCCGCTCACCTTCAAAGAAAATCGAACAACCGCTGATTTGGAAAGAGCCGTTTATGAACCCGGTCTCTCAACCTTGATGTCAACCGAATCGCACCCGAGACTTAAGACGATGGCTCTATGGCGATTGAGATGTGCTGGGACAGTTCTTGAAGTGCAGCTTCGCGGCAGTCTCGCGAATCTGCATCGCATCCCGCTCCAGCACCTTCAATCTGCTTGGTGAAGCGCTTGATGGGAGTCTTGCTTCGACAATCATTGGGAATCTCAGGATTTGCCTCCGAGCTCGTTGCCTCATCTTGATAATTACTCATACATTAATTCGTGTTCTCAACTGCAATGTCTCTGATCAATATTGAGCCATCGCAGGTCCTCAGCAAAGAACCCGCTCTAAGACTGGTGGCAAATTCCACAAAACAAAAATTAAACACTTAAAAGAATTCGTGAGCCGGCCGGGAAAACAAAGCGTTGACCCTAACCATATATAAACCCTAAGACCTTGAATCTCAAGCAGGCGCCAACAACAGCCGACCTTGGCTTGCTTGCGATGGAAATCCCGCATAGCCGCGTCCTTGGAATGCAAGACTCAACAGAGCACGAGGGAGCTGGATTTACTAAGATTGCTCACAGCTGTAACGAACTATTACAGGCTCTGCATGCTGCACGTATCAGGTCGCCTTGGGAGCTCCATATCGGAGGCCAGCGTCGTTGGGATACGTTAGGTTAGGATTTGCAGGCGAGCCCCGTAGCAAGTGTATACGAATTGGTGCTTGGGACCGGTAGTCCGAACAAAGCCAGGTGTCGTACATTTCGTCCTGATATTCCTTCTCGGCGGACAACATCAACTTGTGCACGTCTTTTGCCTCCTCATGGGCACGAAGCAACCGTTGACCTGCCAGGTCACTCAATGGCGCAAGGAAACACGTTATGATCACAATAAGAATCATTGTAAACCGTTGCAATCATTACATGACGAGGAACAAGATAAGACAGTCAGACTGTAGCCTCGATGAGCCTGCACTCCGGACCAAACAAAACGAACTACATCACCAAGCGGTTCACTTCAAGGTCCGAGTCGCGCTCTGCGGACACGCAAAGGCCCAGTTCGAATGCCGTCTCCTGTTGTTCAAGAATCTTGTCCTCACTTGGCATAGTTGGCTCAGAGGGGCAGAGACGGAGTTTGAAACGTTGACTGCGTGCGATCACCAGGAGTTTACATATGTCACAAGCACACTTGGAGCAGCCAAGGTTCCTCCAGCTGCCCGGCGTTTCTGAGCCCCCGCTTCAGCTTCATGCGGCGCTGCTTGGCCCTGCCACGTGGACAAAGGTGGCAGAATTTGCAGCTCCTGCCCCTGGAGCAGCCAGCGCTGCCGTGGAAGAAGTTGCATGGCCGGCATGCACCCAGGGCATGCCCGTTCGATCCAACGTTCCAATACAAATCCGCAATGTCAACATACGCCGGCATGTCGGTAGAAGACGCCATCCCAGCCATGTTTTCCGGCCCCTCCGGATCTGCCACACGCATTGGCTGCTCGGCAGCACCTGGGTCCCCATAGCAAGTGCCGTCCGCAAAGGAGGCAGCCGTGTTGGCGAACGCAGCTTCCGGGAAACTTGGATCTGAATCCACCTGTGCTTCCTTCTCATTCTCAGGGCTGGATGCCCTCCCGTCGGCCGAAGTATCAGAGGATGGAGCAATGGAGTTGGCATTGGAGACTTCGACCTCGGATTCGCTGGAAGCTGGGCAGGGCGAAACCGATATGAATGTGGAGCGATGGGAGTTCTCGCTGAAGCTCCCTGTCGCACCACTGTATGCATGAAGTAAATATGCAAACCAATACATACATACATACATACATACAAACGCGTGTATGTAAGCATAGGGGCATAGAATGAATCTCAGAGACATCACTTGACAACCGTGCCTGCGTGCATGGTCTTACAGCTCGGAGCTCTCATCTGCTGCGTACCTGCACCAAAACGCCTCATCCTGCAAATACACGGCATCATCGGCCGATTGTTTCAAAGCCCTAAACCATGCGGATCCTACCGTAATCAATCCTGGCACGGTGAATCTGATTAGGCGAGCGCTGTCCTGCTCGGTCAGCAGCTTACGAAAACCCCATCACGCTGGAACCAAACCGGACCTTCCAACTTGAGAAGCCGGAGGACCTCTGCTGATGCCGCCAGTTGCGCCAAGGGAAGCCTGGACAGGCTGTGTTTGGCATTTCCGCTTCTAGCCTTGTCCCTGCATCCGTAGCCCTCTTTCCGAACGTAAGGCTTTTTACCAAGGCACCGATCCGAAACTTGCATACTTGCATCTAGCTTCATGGACCCAAAGGCTGGTTCACGATCTGCACCACCAGAAATGCAAGACACTTCAAGCTTGAGCTGACATGACCTGACATCCGAGGCATTCCTAAGCTATCTCGGACACTTGCGCCAGCCTCTGGCAGTCTTCCAGAAGAAGCAGTCGAAGGTGCAGGAGGCTTTCGATTCGACTGCGGCACGCCTTGCCCAAGGCTTGCTATACTGGTGAAAAGGATTCAGGCGTCGCAGATTTAGTCAACTAACCGGGGGGGCGGTAGAGTCGGTCGAACAGTTGGCGTGTATTTGCCCCCTAGGATTTGGAAGCTGAGAACTGCTTGGCTTGTCATGCGTATACAGTACTGGCTAAGTAGTGTCTGCGGTGGGGCTTATCTGTGTTGCAGGCTCGCTGCTCTTTCGGGCATCAAGGATTCTGACATCGGTTCCCACCGCCCCGCAAAAACAGAAGAACAAGCCATCTCCCTGAGGCCAACCAATAAAAAGTTCAAGACCAGCAGCCTCCAGCTCGCTCGCGATGTCCGCAGCCCTTGGCCTCGAAGCCGCAGGAATCCAACGCGCCCAAGGTCGTAAATGGTCCAAACAGGACATGACGGAACATGACGTGTGAGAAAAGCCTTAAATGTGGGACTCCATGAAACAGTTGCGACGGCATTCGTATTGATGTCCTTCTCGTATATACACAAAACGCACTCGTGAGGTCATGAGAACGCATTTGATGCTCTGGGTGCTTCGTTTCCGAGGCGCCAGAGTGCTTCGTGCCGTTTGATCTCATTGTCGAAATCGGCAATCTGGACAGTGACACAATCCTACCAACTACGGCGGTCTTGACCACGAGCAAACTACAGTTGTGCTTACCGGTCTTGACAGCTGCTGGGTGAAAACCTGCGCACGCATGGCGGAAGGCATGCCCGCGGTTTCGGGGAGAGAGGATTGAAGCCTGATCCGGAACATCCCCATTTTCCACCTGCCTGGCTGAATGCAATACTCACTCTCATGGACAAATGCTAGATCAGGGCAACATCGGGACTAGTGCAGCCTCACGGCAACCATCGATAGTCAGCAGATGTTCCATATTACCACAGCAATCGAGTCAACAAAGTACTCTCACAACCACGCAAGCAAGCGATGTGCAGGCATCTTGGAATCAATCACATTTGGCTTCTGGTCCCCTTGCCTCCGCCCTCATCGCTCTGACCTGCTTCTGCAAGTCCTTGTGGCGGGCCTTCGGGGTTTGGAAGCCACAAAGAGCAACTTGGTTTAGGGTTTAGGGGTGTTCCTACGAGTCTGTCTCAGCAACTCTTCGGGCTGAGTCCCTTTTTGCATTACAAGTTTGCCCTGGGCACCGTCCAGTAGGTCACTTCGAGTCGAAGCTCCAGTCCTAAGTCTAAGTATGGAAGATGCAAGAGCAGACTCAACAGTCTCTGCAAGCTGCAGAAGGACTCACAGCATGTCGTCCAAGCGGCGGAAGGTGGTGTTCTGCCGGTTCCGCGTCTCCCGATCTACTGGTGCACGGTCCCATACGATCGGCAGCCAGTCAGATTGCCACGGATGCGCAGTCGCCATGAATCCGTTTCTGGCAGGCTCGATGCCGCACGCTACCTGAAAGACTAGAAGCACAAGGCTAGCTGCCAGTCGATGCCTTGCTGTCCTCTTGTTCAGCCTCTGTGCAAGCACGGCCATTTCTGCTCGAACCAGTGCAAGACGCCGACGTTCACAGTATGAAGCCGCAGTTTGACACAACACACGAAAACGGCAAACCTGGAAGCTTTTTGAGAGCAAGGCATGGTGCGGGCCCATGGGCATCGGCTTGGTAGCTGTCTTCTTCACCTTGCGATTTAGTAGATTCCGGCCCTGCTTCGGGTGCGCTTGGGCTTATTTTACATGCATGTGGAGTTTCTGTCCTACAACTGAAATCTACATACATACATACATACATACAGTACATACATACATACATACTGGTACTTACGTAGAATATAGAGTTAGAGGGACCTTTCCGATGGAGGCGGACCAAGCTGCCCTTTCGAAAAAAGAATAACAAGGCAAATTCAAGGCGAAATGAAGCTACAACCAGGTGAAACAAAATGTAACGAAAAGGTAAACAAAGGTGAAGACCAGGCACAGGCCACGTGACTTGATTTTCCTGCGCACAAAAATCATGCAATCATAGGCCCATGCTACCCCCAAACCTACGCCTAGAGTCTAGAGGAACTGTCAGTTCGTGTCATAAGTGTCAGCTGTGCGATAGAGAAACGGCCAAACCTGACATCCGGAACCCAAGAATGGCAACACTTCGCGGAAAGCATCCAGCATGTCGGACATCAGCACCACGCTCAACCTTTGTTGTGCCTCTTCGCAGCCCTGAACTGCTCCATGCTGCATCCCTCTACGTGCTGTGCGATAGCAAATTACAAGTGACTGTCCCTCGCACCCACCAGCCTGAGATTCGTCCACCATGGACAGGTTAATATCGTCCAGGACGACCCAGCCGCTCACCTCGCCCTGAAGATCGTCTGTGATAGGATTCAAGCTACCATGCCTCTTGCCCAAAACAGTCGTCGAGAGCAGGGACACAGAAGATTACACGATCATACATACACGATCCAATCTAAAACTATACACTAGCGATGATGACACAACATGGTTTCACACCTGTCACCGAGCTAAGAAAGCAGAAGCACTCGCTGCTGTGCGACTGAATGTGTGGATTCGGCCACAGCAAGGAAACCAACAAAGAACAAACAGCAGTCAGTGATAGTCAGCGTCATTTCAAGATGAGCAGCACTTCAACAAAACAAATAACAATACCACGATCCAACCATGCGTTTTTCCTCAGCAGGCCGGATCCGAAGCAAACGCGTTCTTGACGGGCTCCATAACACGCCAGTGAAGCTGTGCTGCGCTTTCAAAGCAGCGCCGATAAAGTCCCTTCCCGGGAGTTGGAGCGCACCGATTGTCACAAGCTTTTGTGCACGGCATGGACCAATGGAGCATGCACTCTCCTGTGACATTTGACTGTACGGCACCAGTTGAGTTTCTGTACATCTGGTGGACTCCTCGCGCTGTGCCCGAATCACGGCAGCAAGCGGTTTGTGAAGAGCGACTCAATCTCGATTGCTTCACGCGGTATGGCTTCACCGGCCCTGCCACGAACGATTCCAGAAGTGCACAAGAAGTCTACAAAGTCGCCCCACCGCTTCGGTTCCATGAGACCCCACTGGCCATCAGGGGTCAGAAATTGCTTGGCGATGCAGGCACTGGATGCCTCCACAAACCTTGACAGTTCCACGGCTGTTGGTTGGGACAGCAATACGTTAGAGTTTGCTTAACATCAAAAATAAAATCTCCATAACCAGCTACAGTACTTAAACGATCACATCTGAGAAACTCCGCATCCTGCAGGGAAGGGTGGCCACAGTGTACCAATGCTTTTGCGGCATCGCTTGGCTTTGCAGCTGCTAGCTTGTAGCCTTCGGCCGTTGCGGCCAGAAAAGCTTTGACCTTCTCAGCCCTTGGGCCTGCCTGAGCCGTGGACCCTAACCCCTAAGCCCTAAACATCCCTAAACCTCTTCTCGAAACCGAAGCACACATCTTTGTTGTTGTATCCAGCAACAGTCACAACAACAACTGCACTGTCGTTGCTGCTGCTGCTGCTGCGGTCCGTGTTGTTCCGGTTACACGCGCGCAAAAAATCCGGGTGCTGTCGGTGGAAAAGAATGCTGCTGTGGCTTGAAACGCCGTTGCTGTCGCTGCTGGTGGTCCTGGTTTTCCTGGTGGTTGCCGTTGCTGTTCCTGCTGTTCCTGCTCTTCCTGCTGCTCCTGCTCCTGCTCCTGCTGCTGCTGCTGTTGGTGTGGTGTTGCTGCTGTTGCTGATGCTGATGCTGATGTTGTCGTCGTCGTGGTGGTGGTGCTGCTGCTGCTGGCACTGATGGTGGTGCTGATGGTGCTAGTGCTGGTGGTGCTGGTGGTGCTGGTGGTGCTGTTTGTGTGCTGGCGCTGGTGCTGCTGCTGCTGGTGGCGCTTGTGCTTGTGGTTGTGGTTGTTGTGGTTGTTGTGGTTGCTGCTGCTGTTGCTGCTGCTGCTGCTGCTGCTGCTGTGCTGCTGCTATGGCTGTTTGCTCTGCTTCTGTCGTTGTTGTGGTTGTTGTTGCTTTGCGCCGCTGTCGTTGCCGTTGCTGCTGCTGTTGTTGTTGTGATTGCGGTTGTCGTTGTTGGTGTCGTTGTTGCTGCTGCTGCTGTTGCAGTTGCTGGTGCTGGTGCTGTTGTTGTTGCTGCAGTGGTGGTGGTGGCAGCGGCGGCGGCGGCGGCGGTGGTGTTGTTGGTGTTGTTGTTGTTGTTGGTGGTGGTGGCGGCGGCTGCTGTTGTGGTTGCTGCTGCTACTGGTGTTGTCGATGCCGTTGTGGCTGAGCACATGATCGCGCTGGAGCTGTTTCCGGTGCTGTTGTTGTTGTCGCTGCTGCTGCTGCCGTTTACTAAAGCCACTTGATTGTGCGATTGCATCTCTGAGCCTTGGTTTGCTTGCTTGGTGTTGGTTGTTTGCGGCGTGCCGTCGTGTGTTGCTTCGTGCGTGTTGTTTGTCGTTCACTGCCTCTGATATCATTATTGCTGCTGCTTCTGCCGCTGCTGCTGCCGCTGCATAGAGGTCAGTGGGAGCAAGCTTCAGTTTTTAACTGCTTAAGCCAAAGTTATCGAGCGGCATGCCCACTCCGACGGCAAAACAAGAAAACATTCCCAACAAGAACCTAGTGCCAGATCCTCCGGATGAGCAAGCAGCACCGGAGAATAGCCATAGGGAATATTGTAATCCTCCAGAGCAAAGCAATGAAGATGCTGTCCGGCACGCTCGGCCAGAACGCCCTCCCATGCCGGAAAGATCCACGTGGAATCCGACCGGCCCTTTTCCAGATAGGAAGCCACAACAGAGCCGGCACCCATGGTGTCACCCTCCTGGTATCCATGAGCAGTCAACCCGTGAAATTGGACTGCCGCACCATCACCACCATCGTTGCTGACCATGCGCGACACGATTGGATCCTCGAAGCGTCCATTGTAGGAGGCATACCTTTTGCCTGCAAGCTTGGCAGGGCGGTCGATGCCCGAGCTCTTCAACGTGCAAATGGCAGATGCGCTTCCCTGCAACAGTGCCGCAACAGCAACCAGCCGTGGCTTGTCAGGCTCTGTTGTGGCGAAAGAGATCGCACTCTCAGACGGCGCCACAGCAAAATGGGCCATTTTCTGCGCTACTTGCCGGGCAGGAGTTGTCCCATCTCCAGCATCTGCTGAGCGCAGTGTGACTTTCAGGCCGGCAGAAGAGTAAAGGCCGGCCATCTGTGCCATGTAGAAACCATTGTGGTTCCTAGTTCATGGTTGGGGTAGTATTAAAAAATTACATGTGTATTCCTGATTGTTTTTAAGTACCCATAAACATGCAAATTGTTCCCCAACTCTGGCAAAGGTTCGTGTTGGGCGTCCAGTCCAGTGCCACAATGATTTCCTCCTCCATCGGAAGATTCTTTCCAGGAGGCCAGCACAGACAGTATCCGAGTTGCTGGCTCAAAAGGCAAGAGTCAAAGCCCCTTCAGAGGGTTAGGAGCCAAGTGTTTCTGAGCGACTCGCTTCTGCTATCACACGTACAAAGAACCTGAGATCTCTCACAACATAACGTCATGCGAACTCTACCTTCATCAACCCCAGCTTTACCCAGCTTGTTCTGCAAGAGTCCACGTGTGCGCAACGCCTCCTTTAGCGACTGAGTTGACTGAATGTAGAAAGGCTCAGGACAGTCCGACAGATTTTATCACGAAGCGGCAACCAGTCTTCGGACAGCTTTTTTTTGGCAGGGAGAGGGAACGAATGGTATGCAGGCCTCGTAGATTGGCACCGGCTTACTAATGATGGACACCCCACCTTACTTAGGTCTGAATGAAACCCGTCCACGCCTCGTGTTTGCGCAACCAGGCGCTTATCTCCTTGGACCTGTAGGCTAGCTTCATCAGCCGATAATATTTTTTCATGAATTCTACAGAAGGTCTGAGAAGCCCACCGTTCGTTACACACTGCTCTTCGGCAAAGCAACATCGTTATCAGCGTCATAGCTACGTGTTACTCTCCTACAATAGTGCATTCGCTCTTGTTCTTGGCAAAACGGCAAGCCCTGGCCGCTCACGTCATGAGTATAAAACATAGTGCCTCTGCCATTAGACACACGGCCATGAGGGTTTTGTTCTGCGGCGATTCAGACTCGCCAGATGCAATCAGCTTCGACTAAATTTGGTTTTCGGCGCTCACACTCGGACCAGGAGACATGGGGCTTGGCAGCTCACCACTTGCAGCAAGATTTCGTTTTGGGCGGGTAGGACAACGCAAAATGACACTGCAATCCCTTATAGCTTCCTTCACCCCCAATTTCGAAGCAGAGCCAAACGATTTCCAATCTCACATTACATGCTGTTAGACCCTGAACCATGAACCCTCCTGAAAGTTCACGGAGACACTCTCAGTGATGCCCTTGCTGCTGGGGACGCGGGCCGCCGGTCAGCGAAACTCCGGAGGGGATCGCTGCCTGCCAAACGAACTTCACCCGTAGCTAGCTCGTGCTTAGGGTGCTATATACCTGCTACCAGGAAGTGATCCTTCAACCTGCCTCAGCTCTTGATATGCCAGCGCACCGACACATTGACATGATGCTCACTGCAAGACTGAGGAAATAGCAAATCATCCTGGCCCTAAGCCCAAATCTAAGCCATACAAGGTCGCTTGCTGCAACAAAAACGACTCCAGGATCGCTATGGAGTTTAATGTGCGCTTCATGGGGGCGGGCATGATGTGAGGCTTGGCAGATCGGAAGATCGCGCACGGGCTGTCTGCTGGTGCTGGGTATCCCAGTCTATCTTTAGGCGCTTCTGCTACAACTTCGCGAAAAGAAGAAGAGCGGCCTTTCTCCAGCTTGAACTCTTGAGTGGTGATGTCGCTCCACAGTCGAAGCCTTGGCACGACACTCAGTTCGGGTGGGCTCTGGCTGGCCGTTCTCATGACATCTGCATCTCATCATCTCATGAACCACGGCTCCATGCTGTCAGAGCCTGCTACAGTGCGAGTCATGATGTGAACACATGCAGATAGCGGTTGCCCAGGCTCCATCTAATTGTTGAAAACCTTGCTCTCTGCCAGGCCTGTTCTTGTTGAAGATGTCCTCCAAGGCTTTGAGGAGGACCTGCCATCACTATGGTCATGGTTGTTGTGTCTGTTTTGTGCTCCTGCACTCTGGGATGGATATGCGACCTTCAAGATCTTTCAATGAGTTCTCGGGCTTGGAAGTCTGAGCTCCAAAACGATGCGTACCTGTCTCTCTGACTGTCTCGGCCCCGTCTCAGTCAAGGGGAGCGGCAAACTTATGTAAACCGGACAGCAATCCAAATCCAGAAAATGCGGCTTGAAAACTCAACTTGATTGACCATTTGAAGTTGGCTCCTCTGCCATCCACCTGGCTAGCCGGTTAAAACCCTAATGCACGAATGGCGCTCTGAGTTAAAGTTTCTACATGTTTCTAGGCAAGGCCAACAGCCCGACATTCTCGGTCCCTCTTGCCTCGCTGCGGCGCCACTCAGCGCACAACACAACTTTGGCGCTACTTCGTTCCTTGGACAGAACTCCGGAGGTCATACATGCATGTTACATATATATATATATATATATATATATACATGAATACGCAGATACACAATAAAACCAATTGTACATACAGGCACACACGTAAATACTTCTTTACACACGTAAAAGCACATGCGGGTTGTGGAGATCTTGGAAGCCTGTTGCGGGCCTGAGTTGGCTTGCGGCGCCTGCGACAGCTGCGCTGTGATGCGGAGGTGCATCGAGCACAGGGGCATGTGAAGTCTTGAATGTTTGGGATTATAGGGTCTGATGCTTCTAGTTAGGAATCTGCAGGAAACGAAGACAAAGGTCTAGAGTGTTCGTCTTGGATTTCTTGAGCTGGTGGTATAACAGTTGGACAAGCGACTTTTTACGGATATTCCACATTTCAGGATCCAACTGTGCTGGGCTGCTTTTGGGGCCGAGTTTGTCGGCCTTTCACAGCAAGAACCTGCAAGACCAAAAGCGCAGATTGTTCACGTCAGTCTGCCGGAACTAGGATCCAAGAGTGCTGTACTCTGTTGAGACTGCTTTTTGTGTTTGATGCTGCAAGAGTTTTCCCAAATGCTGCCTGCCCACTTGCGAACATGCTGTGGTTCAACGTGCCACCTAACAAGCTTTGTTCAAAACAATAGCCCAATACCTTGCAGCATGACTCAGAGGGACCCCGTCGAAACGGCAAATCTAAACAGTCTAAGCCGAGTCTAAGGACTGCACCATGATGTGGCGAAGCGCCTGCACAACATCTCATAGGAAGCGGCTGCCAGTTTACGTCAGGAAACCCGGCCTGGTGTCTGATCATGCGGGAGACAGCGCTCAGGGATCCAATGATACGGCAAACTCACGGCAAGTGTAGGGCATGCAACTCCAGCTTCGACCCCACGAGCAAGTTCCGACGTTCGGGAAGTAACACAACAAGAAACCCTGCTAAGCAACGCAGGCATTCGCGCCTTCAGCGCCGCAGGGAAAAAGTCGGAAGTGTCGGGCTTCGCCTTAAACTTTGCCGACTTGGCTTCTGCGTGGGGGCTCAACATTTAGTTTTGCTGAATAACTTAGGTTTTGCACATACTCGCTTTGTGGTCGTACTAGTCTCCTCGCAACACATGGCATTCACCGCAGGTCCAAACTACGGAACACACGACATCAGATAAGCAAAGTAATCAAGCTAGTCGAGGGCCCACCAGCTTGGTGTAGCAGATTAACGCTTTCAGTAGTGCCGCCTTTGCAACGTACATGTAGTGCTCATTGCGTTACTCTCTGGATGGTTTGCCGACGAAGTTTTGCTGTTGCTCTGGCTTGTTGTTCCCAAACATTCCCAGGGTCCCAAGTATTGCTTCTCGGAGCTGCGCAACAAGCCTGGCGGCGCCTGATGGATGCACATGCACCAGCTGCGCAGCTCAGTGTACAATATGTTTCACTAGGAGTTCAATGGAGTAGTTAATTAAGGGTTGATATAGCCTCGGTTGGGCCCAAATGGTAAAATACCAAGACCCCAATTATGAATTCAGCACGGGGGCTGCCTCACCATCCGTGGAAATGTCAAAGGTTCCTGCTGCATGAGACATGTAGGCAGGCGAGGTAGAGTCACCTTGGCTGTTTCCAAGGACGGTACAAACCTAAGCAGAAATGGGGAGCCATACAAGATATCACACTAGTGTGCATGTTTCTGATCCTGCAGGGAAACACTGTTGAAAAATTGATCGCCGGGGGCCCCTGCATGAGTTAAAGCTTCCGAAAAATGTTCGTAAATATAGACCTCTTCTCAAAGAGGAACGCCCAGCGGTGTATCGAGTTAGTACTCTGGTTTACTGAGATGCCCCCCCCCACCGCCAACAGGAAGCAGCAGGTCCTGCTCGTGCCGGCCGAAGTACGCCATCCACGTCCAGGAACACGATCTTGGTGCGATCCTGGCTGCTAATTCGGGCACATTAAGGCTTTGGGTTTAAGAGCCTCCGCACGGAGGGATATCACTGCATATGTTCATGGTTTAGCTCCCGAGTCTGACTCTTTACCTGCATATTCTTTCGGGCAAGTGCGTGGGTGTTTCAGCGGGCAGCCGTGAGTCAGTGAAAGGTAGGTATGCGGAACAAGCAATGGTGGACTCTAGCAGTTTGCTGCGCTAAAGGCAGCCGGAACTGCAGAGGCAACTGATCTATCTCTCACCAGCACAGAAAAATCTGGCATCGTACCGTACCCTTTCATAACCCCTACCGTCCCTCTTCAAGCCTGCACTCAAAACCCCGAAGCCCAGATAAGCAACCCCGAACTCCAAACTCCGGAACCGAAACCAAACCAAAACCCCACCATCGCATGCTTATCAACTCTTCCCGAATCATATGGGAGTTTCTGAAATTAGGGGTACCCTTATTTTGGGGGTGCTCATACTGTGGATCCTACTATTTAGGGTACTATATTGGGGTCCCCTATGTTCGGAAACCCACCATAGCTCTGCTCTACTCTGCTCCTCCGGAGCGAGGCCCAAGTCCGCCTGACCAAGTCGGGAGTCTGCGATCCGTTCAGCTACCACAGTGGGTATATTAAGGGTTTATAGGGTTTAGGGTTAGGGTTTAGGGTTTTTTTCCCTCCTACCTAGCAAGGACGAGGCCCGCATTGCAGGGTGTCTTGGTTGAACTGCTGAACAAAGCCGTGTGATTCACAGCTAAATATCGTTCGAGTTGCAAGTAACTTGTTGACTTACTCTCAAACGCACTCATTCCAGTTTCGGAACGTGGGCGAAGGTACTCACGAAGTGTCGTCACGAACACCAAAACAAGCCAGTGTTGTAAGCATCATCTCGATTCAAACAGCACCGCGGAGCCTGCAGCCTGCCAAGGTCCCTTCGAAGCAGAGAGTCCGTCCCCAACCAAGTAGAAAAATCGACTTCACTCTTCCCTGGCATCGGTCCACCAAGCCAGTCAGCAAAATGCTGCGAGCAACTTAGGGTTTACGCTCTCGCAACTCGGACATGTCCAACTTAGGGTTTAGGGTTTAGGGTTGTGGGTACCATAAGGAACTAAAGGCTAACCTTTTTGGATAGATAGGGATGATAGGGACTAGAATGGACTATACTACTTGTCGGGTATCATGGCGGCACAGTGGGTATCATCTTACCTTTGGTTAGCAGGGAATGGAGGAATATAGGGTACTATTGTAACTGTTATTACTACCATTCTTGCATTCCCGACTAACCAAAGGTAAGTCACAGGGAACTAAAGGTTAACATTTTTGGTTATATAGGGACTATATAGGGACTATGCTACCCAAAAAACGTTAAGGGATACGCACTCTACTACTAGGGCTACACAGTGGGTAGTTCACACGATCCTACGGTCAGCCACATCGGAGTTGGCGCCTTGTTCTGTCTGTATCTCTCAGAGACGGAATGGAGACTTATAGGACATGCTCATGTCAAGTGGTCCACATTCCACCACTGCTCATGCAGGATCGTTTACCTGCGTTTTGTTGGGCTTTCAGAAAGATGCACAGAACCACAGTAAGACCAAGCGATGACACCAACAAACTCTGGCCACTCTCCTCGGCAAAGAGGCGGATTCTGACGCTTCAGGACAGAAGAGTACGAAAACAGGTGGCAACAATCTCGTAGAGTGGCAGACGCAGTGTAGGCTTCGTCACGGGAGCTGAAACGAACATAGAGAGCACTCCACAATGCTGAACCCTGGTCGCTACAATTAATACCGGAACTATGCTGGTAAATTCGCTGAGTCGTGATGCATGGCATACACATACCAGCAGCACGCCCCTTGCCTGCGGCCCTCGCTCGCCAGCAGCTCGCATAGCTGCCTCCACAACAGGGATGAAGTTTTCAGGGTACGAACTGCCTCACGCCGATGGTTGGCCTCAAGGCCCAACAGTCTGACTGCGGCGCGGTCTCTGCAACTTAACTTTTGATGCAACTGCAATCGCCCCGACCCAGAGACCGCAAAGCACAAAGCACACCCGCTAATTACGCCTAGGGGGGCTCCTGCAAAGCCTCTCGCAGTGTCGAACTTACTCGTGCAGATGACGACAACGAGGAACATCATCATCATGACTTTGCCCGTCTATCATCACCGCCACCCGCATCGTTCTCAGGCGCAGATTTTTAATTACTGCGCATGATCAGCGAAACCCTCCACACGAGCACTATGAGCATCAACTTCTGGCGGAAAAATTCCTATAACCATACAGCCCAGTGAATGAGCATGTTGTTGCCACATATGCCGGGTGCCTGCAACACAAATCGACACAGAGACCACCCACCGAGCAACCCTCGCCCATTTCCTTGCCTTGGAAACCACAGCAGGACGTTCGACCCAGTCGTTGCGCGAATTCAATTACCAGCAGTGCGAGCATCATCGGCATCCGCTGGTAAATCAAACTCACTCTCTCATATCCGGACTTGCGAGCCCGCAGCGTTCGAAACAGTGATTGGGCAGAGCATCATCGGCATCAGCTGGAAATCTTTTTGAAGCCCCTCTCTCATATCCGAACTTGTGAACACACAGCAGGGCAGCATTTCGACCGAGTCAGTCGGACAGAACCAGCGCACCGAAAAGCGACATCATCAGCATCAGCTGGCCATAGTTGAAAACGCACTGTCCATGTCTGGACCTCTGAAACCGCACAAGTGCAGCAGTTCGGCCCAGTACTGGACAGATTCAGCGAACTGCAAGGAGTGCACCATCAGCATCAGCTGAAAAACTTTCTAGACTCACTGCCCCGTATGGGCCTTGGAACCCGCAGCCAGGTCAAACTACCACATACTACCACGTGTTGCCATTCACAGGATATCGCTGGAGCACACGGACCATCGAGTGAGCATCACCAGTTCACCACCCGACCCGGCTGCCTTTCGCAAGAAGCCACTCCGTCGAGCATCATGAGCATCAGCTTGCGGTATAATCGGTATCAACGACAGCAGATCTCCTCATCACGCAGCCCAACAAGCGATCGTGATGATCATTAGCTTCGGGCTGCCTCCCGGCAAACCACTCGAAGAGTGCGCCCCAGGACATAGAATTGTTTTCTGGGAGTTCAAACGAAGCAGATAGAACGTCTTCTAGATAGAATTTGTTGCCGGCCGAGCGGTGCAGAAATATGTTTTCCCAAGCCATTGGATCCCAGCGGTCAAGACGGGGATTCCCCTAGGCGGGACTGCCATGGACTGCCTCCACGAAAACCCGCAGACAAGGCCGGGAAACACTTAGGTCGTGTCGTTGCATCAATAAATAGGGCTTACAACTAGAATGGGGCTTTTGGGGTACATAATTATCATTATACTAGAAATATTAGGAAGGAACCCCAAAAATAGTTTAGGCAACTATTAGGCCTCAACATTCTGCACTGCATCGCATCGAAACCCACCAGACAATGGCCAAGAACCGAAACATTTTGGCCGCAGTGCCTCGCTGATTGCAACGCAGAATACGTCGTGAAATTTCATCAAATGTGCGAATCCACGCATGACGTTTTTTCAATTTACTGTGGGGAATGTCAGAAATACTGGAACTCACACGTGAGTTTCAAGAAACTTTAACAAAAAACGAAATTCGTGAATACCTCCCGGCAAACCACTCGTCCCGGCAAACCACTCGAAGAGCAGGTATCATCGACGTCATTGGCAAGAGATCTTCTGCCCGTGGAACCAAGCATCATCTCATCGAGAATCCTAGCATCATTGGCCTCAGTTCGGCTTACCAAGGGCGCATCAGCAGCATCATCTACCCGCCATTTCCGTGCAAAGCAAGAATACACAATTCTTGTGCTTACTGTCTGGCCTCCGACGCGGCAGCAGAGTCTGCGTCTGGCCTTGGTTTTGGCGGCAGTCTTATTCGGTATGTTATACAGCGTATGCCATGGCGAGATTAGCTCGGCTCAGCGGCCACATCGAGCTGCCGCTGTCTGTCGGGTTCCGGAAGCTGTTTTCCGGTGCAGCCCAGCGGAGAGCTCAAGCTTTGCTACTGGTGCAACGACTCATGCCTCGGCGGCCTAAGTTTCCGAGCATGTACTGTAGGTTCTTCATGGAGGTACTTGCGAGATTCCAGAAATTGCAACGGCACCTCCCGATCCGAGTCGAAAACATGCATGCTAAACTTCAGGCAATCTTGCACGACAAAGCCGGAACGCTTCACTTGGGGACCGAACTGCGGCATGTCGCCGTACAGGGACTCGGCCTGGCTAAGTGTCGTTGTGATGCGCACGATGGCGTGAGTGTTGACAGCGATTGACAGGTATGGTGCACCACTGCCACCATGATCGAATCTGGAGCCCTTAGTGCTACTGGCAAGCCATGGCTGCTGCTTTTCGATGCTATCGCGATATTGCTACTGTTTCTGAGTGCTGGATGGTTAGGATGACAGACAGCTAGCACAGCAGTCGTCTTCGCAGCAAAATTGGTCGTCATCATGCTGGTCGTAGTTGTAGATGGAGGTAGTAGTAGCAGGAGTCGTAGTAAAGGTTGCAGAAGTCATATAAGAATGGGAGTCGTCGTCGTCGCTGTCGTCGAAGCAGTAGTAGAACAAGTATGTGCCGGTAGCGGTGGTACCGCGTAGCAGCAACAGCAACA